TGGTTAGTAACATTTAAAATAATTAAAAGTAGCTAAACACAACCTAGGAATGGACAGTGAGCTTAGCCTGCACAAGCTCCTGGTTGAATCTCTAGCAGAAAAAAGAAAAAATTAAAAATACAATGATCATATTGCATCTCATAAATAAGTACAATTATTATACACTAATTTTAAAACAGTAACTTTGCAATCCTGGATTAGGAGGTTTTTATTAGCCAGCCTTTAAGATTAGAAAGTAAGAAAGTCAGAACAGAGACCTTGAGAAGTCCAATTATTGTGAGATTAGGTGAAATGTAATAATAAAATTATGTGGTATCTTAGGTTAGGGGAAAATACTGTGTTACAAACACTTGAAATCTGGGGCTGAAGAAATGGCTCAGTGGTTAAGAGCACTGGCTGTTCTTCCACAGGACCCAGGTTCGATTCCCAGCACCCACATGGCAGCTAACAACTGTCCGTAACTCCATTTCGAAGGGATCCAACGCCCTCTTCTGGCCTCCACAAGCTTTGCATGATACAGGTGCACTTACATACATGCAGGCGATACAGACATACACATAAAATAAAAACAATAAAATATTTAAAAAACTTGAAATCTACACTGGATTATGTCACAAGTGCAAGCTGAAATATCAAAAGCCTGAACTTAACAGTTATAAATCTAAGCTACAAGCTTATCTCAGTATTTTCTTTACAGATAGTCTTCAATCAGTCCCAGTCATTAAATAAGCAACTGTGACAATTCTTATTGTCAACTTAACAGGATTTAGCATCACCTTGGAAACACCTCTGGGTGTATCTATGAGGGTGCAAGATTCCCATGTTGGTGCAATTATGACAGAAGTTTATGTTCTCTACTTTTAAGGTGCTTCAAGTTCTTGAGACCTTGATTTGCTTAACTTTTAAAAAGCACTTTACTTGATTTGTTAAGAGTTGCTTGGGTGCTTGGAATAATTTATTCATTAAATTTAAACTACTGCCTAAGTCAAGGAATCAATTTTTTAAAAATTATATGAAAACAGATAAACATGTATGAAGTATAAATGAATGACTGCTTTGTTTGTATGAAACATATTAAAAGCTATAAACATACCTAAGCTTAAGTTTAAAATATGAATATGAATTAAACCACAACTATTGCCAACATTCTTTTATTTTTGAAAATTCTCCAAATACCAAAAAAAAATTACTATCAATTTTATTGTGAGGTTTTTGCTTCTATTTTTAATTTAAGCCACTCATCTGAACATCAAGATTAAACAGCAAAGAATTCATTTCAGTATACAAAATGAAGTTTGTCATGAATTTTCAGCTCTTAAAGTTTATTATTATAATATAAGCACATTCATTTTTCTTGAAGGGCAGCATTTAGAATTGTTTACATATAACACATTATGAGTAAAAAAGAAGTAATTTTTTACCTTATAAGAACAGCTGATATAAAAATATTTCACCTGAGAATAAATTCTTTCATTGTAATGTAATATGCTATTTCAGGGTGAAAATGAATAATCAATGTTGACAATTTTAAAAATTAATAATAAGTATTTTCCATTTTTCAAGAATTAATGCCTACTTATACTATGAAAATATAGAATGGTATTTTAACAAATGCAAAAAAAAGCACAATTGGAATGAGGTGTTGAGAGACCAACAGGATTATTTTTAGAAAATGACAACACTTACCCTAGTAAAATTAATTGTGCTCCTAGAAAATACTCTAAGTTCTACCGCAAAGTATTTTCAGATCATAACTGTTAGTGAAGTACACATCTTCTTTACAAGAGCTAAAATCAGAAGTCCATCCTTCTACCCAAAGAACCCACTCTGGAAATACATTCACTCAAAGGTTTGCTAAATTAAATTACTGAAAAAACTGTAATGATGAAAACCAAAACTAACTAAAGATAATTTCTGTCAATTACATAAAATTTTTTTAAGCCCACAGCTTTTTACCAAAGATAAAATTTCAAAAAATAAAGAATTCATAAAGTAAAATGCAAAATATACTAATAATGCTTTTCACTGCGACCAATTAACTGGCTCCTCACTGCTCAAGACAGCACTGAATAGGAAATATAAGGCAGGAAGGTGATGCTGCTTCTTTCATCTTTTGCCTAACATAGATATACATACATACATACATACATATATACATACATACATACATACATACGTATGTATGGACTGATAAGGAACAAAATTCTGATAGTAATAATTTAAGAATTTTTTTTTTTGTTCTGAGACAGGGTCTCCCTGTAGCCCCAGCTCACCTGGAACTCACTATGAAGACCAAGCAGGCCTTGAACTCACAGAGATCCACCTGCCTCTGCCTCCCAAGTGCTGGAACTAAAGGCGTGCGCCACCAAGCCCAGCCAATTTAAGACATTTTAAAATAAATATATGTATAAAAACAAACCATACACTGTAAATAATGACAAATTCATATTTGATTTTCTGTCTTTTTTCCTAGTCCATTTATTCTTGTTTAAAAGAACTATTTAAATTGTGCATGTCTTGAGTCAGACTTTGCTACTATAGAAAAAGGAATAGGCCATTCCTACAGAAAACTTTAATTGCCAAAATACATGTGCTGAGTATGTAAAAACTAAGAAGAATTCAAATGTGTTACTTAAAATGTTTAGAAGACCTTGCACTCATATACAAAATAATAAAATAAATGAACACAACAGATAAGAAAAGGACTAGAGGATATAATCTCAACTTTCACGCTGTAGGAAAAATTTTACTTTGCATTGATCACACATTCAAAATGTTAAGAGAGAGTTCCTAAATCTACATGGAAAAGCAGGTTAGTAATGATCTGTATTAGTCGTGCTTTATGAACCGGTTCTTTCTTAGGAAGGTCAGGTTCTTCAAAAACAAACAACAAAAAAACTACCCTTTTCAGTAACTTCCCTAATAAACTGTTTTGTTTCTTTTTAAATGTAAGTGTTCAAAGTTACATATGGTTACAAAATTCACATCTCCCCCAAAAGGTTCTTATGTACTTAGATATGAATATTAATTACTAAAAGATATCTCTTTAAATTTATGGTACCATTTAGCAAGGGCTTGTTTGGAAAATATAATGTGCTATCTATAATTTGTCTGAAAAAATAAAGATTTCCTTTGAAATGTGTCTTGACTGTATTTATCATGCAGCAGTCATTAGCCAAATGTAAGATTTTTAGGGAAAGAATCGAAAATTCTGTTTGGTATTATGATGCAAACTATTACCAACTACATCTTACAAGGAGAACTTAGCTGGGGGTTATGGAATCCAAGCAGAGACTTGTAAGATGGCTCTTTTAGATTACAGTATCTCTGAGATATCAGACTAAATAAATATCTTGAGAAATATGTATAGAGATTGCCAGTCATGTCCCTTGTACTGAGAAAGGAACACTTTTAACTTAGATGATAGAGCCTAAAATCACAGATGTGATTCACTGACTTAAGGGTTTGGATATTTCAAAGTAATATGGTACCAAGTCCTTGTGTTCTTGCTGGTGCTGTTCTTTAAGTGTCTGTAATGTGATAATCACACTTCCAATGTATTTGTATTTTCAAGGCTAATATTTTTATACAACTGATTGAAATATAGTATCAACTACCATCACATAACTATAGTCTATATATGATTTATATAATGAAATTTTTCTAAGATTATGTTACTATACCATATTTCAATTGCTGTAAGAGGAAATTCTGATTCTTATTAAAAAGAAATGTGTACATATTCACACACACACTCCACTTCTAATTCTTTTTTGTTTTGTTTTGGGGAGATTCATTTTTTGAGACAGGGTCTCTCTGTTGTCCCATCTAGGCTAAATCTTGCTACCAGACAAGGCTGGCCTTGATCTCACAGAGATCCACCTGCCTCTGCTTCCCAAGCACCGGCGTGAGTCACCATGCCAGGCTTCTAATTCTGAATTTAACCCCTAAGAGACTTTATATTCTATCATGTTCCAAAGTGATTATAAGGTGACTTGTTAAAGAAATCTATACGTTGATCTATTAAAAGCTCAATAGATGAGATACAAGTAATAAAGTTTAGCAATAGAATAGGTTATCCAACAAGTTTATTATCTAAGACTAAAATTAAGTGTGCCCTTTGTGAGGAAGGCAACAAAGCAATTCTTTTTACTCATCAATGAGGGCTTGGGGAGAAAGTATGGATTAATTCTCCTAACTCTAACAGACATCTGTCATTCTAGTTACAAAGTCAAAGACTCTAGTCAGCCCTCCCTTAGTCATAACCACCAAAACACATTTGAATTTTACTTTAAGCAAAAGAAATGTAACTTGAAATATTTACCTATGTCTAAAACCACTTCTACAAGAAGGCCTCACTTTCACTGTTGTGACTGATGACTGCCACCTAGTGGATATCACGTCTCTCAACCTTTACCAGAACAGAAACTTGGTATGACTTACACTGGTTTTCTGGGGCGGGAACAGGGTCTCCCTGCAGCCCCAGCTGTCCTGGAACTCACTATGTAGACAAGGCTGGCCTTGAACTCACAGAGATCCGCCTGCCTCTGCCTCCCAGGTGCTGGCATTAAAGGTGTGCCCCACCACACCCAGCTTGACTTATACCTTTACAGATGACAACTTCCACTAAAACTTTCTTTCAAAAATTCTAAAGGAAAAGCAAAACCCTTCCTTACTGCCCTATGTCTCTCTTCCATGTGTTACTCATGTGTTCATGTATTTTAAAAATTAACACTGGTAAATCATATAGTATTATAAAATAATATAAACAAATATTACTCAAAATTTATCATTTCTTTAAATCATAAATTGTTTTATAAAACTGAAACGATGTTTTGTGGAAAGCAAAAAAGATAACATATAGAGTCCATTCAATATACTTTGGATAAAAACATGCAGGTTGACAATTATAAACAAATTTTATTTAAAGGAAAGCCGAAACACACAACCACAGCTTCTAAATAAAGGAACGCAGGAAAATTCAACGCGCGTTCATATTACTCCAGTTACTATTCAAACAATAAACTTTTAAATCAAAATTAAAATAAATGAAGAATAAATAAGTTCAGTAAACAGAGAGGGCAACAAACATTCAAAATACTACTCTGTCTTCCTGTGTTCTTTCCCACCAAAGTGTGCTGTTTAAAGTCCCACAACTATTGTCTTCTTCCTCTTGTTCTTTGGTGAGTTCTACAAAAACCTAGACAAAAGGAAATGAAAAAATAAGCTATATCTCAAAGGAATTTTAACTAAGTCAGACACGATACAAAGCCACATCTAATTAACAAGTATTAAAAGAGATTTATTGACATTAATACTCAGTTATGTCCGTTAGCTACAAAGATTAATCCATATTTAAATTAATACATTTTCTGATTAATATATCAATAATGCTATTAGAAAATGACTTAATATTGCCTTTTTTACTTATTTTTATTTTATGTGTATGAGTGTTAATGCCTGCATGTATGTAAGTCCACCATATGCGTACAATGCCGTGGAAGCCAGATATGCATACAATGCCCCTGGAAGCCAGAAGAGGGTGTCGAACTGGAGTTACAGATGGTTGTTAGCCATCATGAGGGTGCTGTGATGTAAATCTGGGTCCTCTGCAAGAGCAGCCAGTCATCTTACTCTCTGAGTCATTTCTCCAGACCCTAAATAACTTATAGTTGCTTAAACAATTTCTGGTATTATAATATTGAAACTCCATGAGTCTTCAAATTTCTACCAAGATGAAAAAAAAAAAGAGCTTTTCAAAAGTAACAAAATAAAATCACTTGATTTAATTATTTAATATTATATGCACATATCAAACCATCATGTTACTCCATAAATGTATACAGATGTGATTTGTCAATTAGAAATATCTTTAGAAATCACTCACACAATAAATATTTTTTAAAGTCTAAAATGCCTATAATTCTATAGTATCACAATCTCTTTCTCTAACACTAACCTAAGCAATTACTAATAGACACATTTAATTATAAAGTAATTTAAAAAAATTTAACCTTACAGTACCTGTTCCAGTGTTGCTTGAGAAAAGCTATACTCTTCAATGGCAAAAGTGTGTTTAGCTATTAAAATATAAAGTATTTGACTTAGCAATATTTTTAAGGAAAGAACTGGCGCTAACTATTAAGGTAGCTAATAATCTCTTAACAAAACGAAACAAAATAAAACCCTGTAAAGAACTCAGCAAAATGAAAGCTGCCCAAACATGCTATGTTCCTATCTCCTTTCCTCTTTCTCATTCCCACAAGTCCTCCTTAGCCATAAACATTTTACATTAAATGTTACTTGACTTATTTTGCATTTCCCTCCCACCCTCCTTTATCTTCTTCCTAATTTTTTTTCTACTGCGCTTTCTTTTGATCTCAGAGCTCTATGTCCCATTCCCCAACTCTACTGTAGGCTGTTTTTGCTTTCGGAATTTGATTTTGAATATTGGTCTTTATCAGTTTTTCTCTATTTCAAATCCTCTTACAATTTAATCTAATACTAAATTTCTGCTATTATACTTGCTCCTTTAATCATAAAGAAGTCACTAGACAGTAGAAACCTTACATATATTCTTACACTACAGGCACAAAAACTATGAATCAATCCACAGCAGTTATGGAGAGACACAGACTATAAAGAAATCTTTTTCTGGTCAGAATTCCCATAAAAAAGAATAATAAAAATTCTATATTTATTTTGAAAGGTATTAATGATAAACTCTACCCATAAATACAGGTTCTCAGTTTGTGTAATAAAATAACCTATATGTGAAGCCCTGCCCTGTCTAGAACCTCACCTCTCTACTTCTCCCTGCATACATTTATTATACCTAGCACTTATCATTAAAATGCCTTAATTCAACAGGTTTCTTATAAAATTTTGATGAACACCCACCCTTCTGTATTATGAATTTCCCCTCTCCTCTTTCCTGCTTCCATTAATCTAGATTCTACTGCTGTTATTATTATAGCCCAGTAGGAAGTAAGAATTCAAGAACACATTGCTCCTGGCTGCTGGACCAAACTGCTGAGATAAGCTAATCATTTCTATGCATTCCAGGTGACAACCTTGACAATGCCAGCTAAAGATTCCAAAGGTTCACACTATAATTTATACATAGTATCTTATCACCCTAACATTTATATGTAATATCATACATATGATAGAGTAAGTAAACTAAACATTATATATTTGCCATTATTTCAACAATAACATTGCTCCAGGTTTGAAATATATTCTTTCATAATTTGAAAGCTATTTACAATATTTTTCAAATGCTACTAACCTTCTTCCAGCTTTGAAAAAGATTGTGAAAGAGACTGAACATCTTCTTTAGGAATTTTGTAAGCCAAAATGGAAGAAAAACTGAAAACAAAGATAAAATGCAGAAAAATGTAAAAATTACTACTACTGTGTTCTAAAGCTGAAGTTTAAACATTCTTAAATTCAAAATTAAATTATAATAATCTACTTTGATGTTGTGTGAAAAGATAGAATAATGCCATGGAATCATAAGTCTATACACTAAGGAATATCAAAGAAGGTAAAAAATAGACAAGAGCCTCTATTTCAACAGCATTCATCCTGTACATGTGTCGTGATGACACAGACACATGAATGCAAAGATACTTAAAGACAGACACACCCTCTGACTGAAAAGAAGGCTTTTCACTAATCCTTAATATGACATTTTATGATTTCTGTTCTATAAAGCAATGTTAGATAGGTTCGGAAAGTTTTACCTTTCTTGGCGGCTTGCATTAGGGAAAATATATTGAATTTCTCTTTGAAGGCGGTCTATTTCCAGGTTTTCTATCCAGTCCTTTAATTTAATTTCCAAAAAGTAACCTTTGCCAAATTTACTCTTTAGATGTTGTACTGTTCCAATACATCTGCAATAATGTTTAGAAGAAAGATCAATATAAAGTAGCTCAACAGCTTCAAAAAATGATTTCTCACTTAAATCTCTACCACATTGTACGGATAAAATCATGCTGGGAAACTTACATTTACAAAAAAGTTGGTAAACATAGTATTACCTCCATACACACTTTATACATTTTCAACTTTTTGATTGTTTATCTTATGTTCCCATGAGAAATTTGTCGTGATCAAGAACCCTGCATTAGTACACTAGTCTAAATTAAACCCCAGATTTCATTTGAATTCTACTAGTTTTCCACTGGTGGTGTGGTGGTGTTTTTTTCTCCAGGATTCTATTCCATGTTGTATTTAGTTGCTGTGTCTCTTTAGTTTCCAAAGTTAATGATAATTTCTTACTCATTCCTTCTTTTTCATGACTTGCAGAGTTTTAAGAAACACTAGTGAGATTTTTTGTTGGAATGTCTTTAACTTGTGTCTGTTATTTTTCTCATGATTAAAATAGGGTTATGAGTTTTGGATAGAAAACCACATAGCTGAAGTATCCTTAACAATATGCATACAGCACTATTTAGTTAAGGTATGGCAAGTTTCTCAAGTGTGAAATTATTATTTTCCTTACTGAGATTTTTTAAAATATTTTATTATTTTTATTTTATATGTATGAGTGTATCACCTGCATGTATGTGAGTGCACCCGCATCGTGCAATGCCACAGAGGTCAAAAGAGGGCTTCAGATTCCCCTGGAACTGGAGTTAAGGATGGCTCATAGCCACCATGTGGGCGCTGGGAATCAAACCTGGGTCCTCTGTAAGAGCAGTAAGTGCTCTTCACTGCTGGG